AATGTACTAGTTATTGCAAATAATGGAAACCATGGGACCTATGTTTCTTTGGGCCTGACTTACTTCACTTAATATAATTTTTTCCAAGTCTTTCCATTTCCTAACAAATGGGGAAATGTCATTCTTTCTGATGGAGGCATAGAATTCCATTGTGTATATGTACCACATTTTCTTGATCCATTCATCTACTGAGGGGCATCTGGGTTGGTTCCATATCTTAGCTATAGTAAATAATGCTGCAATAAACATAGTCGTGCTGGTAGCTTTAGTGTGGCCTTGTTTGTGATCATTTGGGTAAATGCCCTAAAGTGGGATTGCTGGGTCATAGGGGAGCTCTATGTGGAGTCTTTTGAGGAACCTCCATACTACTTTCCAGAGTGGTTGAACAAGTTTACACTCCCACCAACAATGCAGTAGGGTTCCCTTCTGGCCACATCTCCTCCAGCATCTGTTGTTATTAGCCTGTGTTTTCTTTTCTTTTCTTTTTAATTAATGTTTTTTTTATTGTGAAAATACTGTACAGAGGGGTTACAATTACGTGAGCAAGGTAATGAGTACATTTCTTGTCAAGCATTGTTGCCTCCTCCTTTGTTTTTCCCCTACCATCCCTGCCCTCCCATTTCCATGACTACACTCCCCCCCACTCTGTGTTTTCTTGTATTGGAAAGGTTTACTCTTTAAGTTGGCATTTACCTAATATATCTGACTAATTTAAGAAAATGCCCTTTCTTCATGTTACTGTGGGCAAGGCAGGGTGGCAGTGTGTTATGTAGAACCTAGAATCTCCTGTAAAGGACCCATTGGTAAATATTTCAGACTTTGTGGGCGAAGAGGCAAAGTAAAGGCTATTATATAGGATAGGTATTTCTATAACAAGAGAGAAAATGAAGCTTCCATAAACTGTTTATGGGCATGTTTCAAAATAAAATAATACTCTGTGTGTGTATGTCTCTTTGTGTGTGTTTATGTGTATGTGTGCCAGTAGTGGGACTTGAATTCAGGAACTTGAGTTTTCACTTGGCTTTTTTCTCCTCAAAGTTAGTGTTCTGTTACTTGAGCCACTCCTCCACTTCTGGATTTTTGTTGGTTAATTGTGAGATTCTTGAGGATTTGAACCTTAGTCCTCAGATCTTAGCCTCCTGGGTAGTTGGGATTACTGGGGTGGGCCACTGGTGCCCAAACATGGCATCATAGATTCAAAGACATTTTTATTTTAAAAATTCATTATTATATAGTTATACAAAGAGGTTACAATTCCATAAGTCAGGTCATGAGTATCATAATCATAAGGTATCATGATCAATTTTACCCCTTCCACCATTCTCCAGACACTTTATAAAATTCTATGTACTGGTTAGTTACCATTCTATTTGGAGGTAATAGTTTTTTTTTTTTAAGAAATTCAAAGTTAGTGTTCTCAATGGTCAAGTTGATTGCAAATGTTAACCTTTTTTTCTTTTCTTCTTGTGCTGGTGGTCCTGGCACTTGAGCTCAGGACCTGAGTGCTGTCCATGCGCTTGTCTCAAGCTACCAGTTGAGCCACAGCTCCATTTCCATTGGAGATAAGAGTCTCATGGATTTTTCCTGCCTGGGCTGGCTTTGAACCATGAGTAGCTAGGATTATAGACATGAACCATTGGTGCTAGATGCAAATGTTTATCTTTAAAGACGATTTTTAGCTTGTGATGATTTTCAACCTAGAGGCTGGATTTGACCCATGGGCAGTGGTTCTCCAAATCCTGATGTAATTGAGAAAAATCATGAGCTTTAGAGCCAGGCACATGTAGGTTTGCATATTGCTCCTGAGTGTATAACCTTGAATAGATCACTACACTTTTTAGCTTGATGGGTTTGTTTTTGTATAAAATCTATGAGGGTAATGACTCTTACAAGATGGACAACATGTCATTTGTATCCCAGTGATTTTTTTTTTTAAAGATGGAGTCGTGCTGTGTGGCTCAATGCCATGTGGCATGTTATTCACAGGTAACATTGGTGGTGGTCTGATTTGAAAAATGAACCTGATAGGCAAAGAAGCAGGAAGCCATTTGGCTCACAAGTGCAAGTTTTACAGGAAGGGAGCAAGCAATCCTAGAAGCTCTTTGGTGACTTGTTTATAATAAGAGGATCATAAAGGGAATGTTCAGGCTGGTATTTGAAGGTGCCCAGGTTAGAGCAGGACTTGAAGCAAGCAAAGTGAAGGGAGAATAGAAAACGGGAGTGCTCTTGGGAGAATTCTTCCAGCCTCTCCTAGTAAGAGTTTTTCGATGTTTTAAATCTTCCCAAGGAAACCTTTAAAAGAGAGAGAGGCTTATTCAAACCTTTGAACTGTTCTGAAAATTTATTACATGTAAGCTAGGAAAGAAATGATTGTTTCAGGCAAACAGACTGAGTGTGGACTGGTTACTCAGCACAGACACTTAATCTGACAGAATTAAGCAAAGAGAAGAAATTTTAGTGGTCATCAGCCTCTTTCCAGAACTTTGACTAGGTTCCTCCTAAATTGTCAGTGCATTTTGCTTATTTGTATCCAGCTATGCAGCAGTTTAGTGTATATCTATAAGCTCGAAGGAGTTGATTTAATCCATTCCTTTTTTTTTTTTTTCATCTCATGCCTTCCACCTGAGAAAACAAACCCTAGTCCATAGGTCCTTACTCTGTCTTAGAAATTTGCCTCATGAGTAATCTAAGACAGGTCCTGCTGAGCATGTTACATGTTTGGAATTAAAGATGGATGGAATTACAATGCATATGCTATGAAACTAAGAAAATTGAGGGGAAGGGTTGGGAGGGAGGGAAGAGAATGAGGAAAGGGGGACATCCATCGGGATGCAATTGTACTTATGAACCGATTTGTTGAATGGTAATTCCTTTGTAATCTACTTAAAGATAATAAAAATAGAATCTAAAAAAGATGGGTGGAATTAAGGGTGGTCAGAATATTTTCCTTTGTGTTGTTGTTGTTGTTGGTTGTGGGGCTTGAACTCTGGGCCTGGGCAAGTGCTTTACCACTTGAGCCACAGCACCACTTCCAGAATCTTTTATTTTTTATTTTGAGAAAAGCTGAGTGACTTAACTTTTTTGAAGGAGTAGTTCTATAAAATAACCTCCTGATATTTGAGTATCTGTGATATATTACCACCTCTTTTCTGTAGATATCATTAAAGCATTTCCATCCTAAAACTTTATGTTTTTATAAGTAATTTAAATGTAAAACGCTTTTAAATAAAATTACGTAGGCATATAATATATTAAAAATTAACCTTGTTTTGGATTGAAAAAGTCTGATAAGGCTTATAATTATTTTCACTTCTTTGAAGCTTAAATATTTCAGAAAGCTCTTCGTATAGCTCTCAGAGGTTTGCTGTACAAGGAGCAATAAAAGTAACCTGTGGGCTTACCTCACTTAGGTATACATATACTTGGTTGCAAAGCAGTGATTGTAGTAGTGTATGAGACCAAAGGTAAATAAAATGCTTTACTGTCAGATTAGAGTGTGTCTTAAAGCTATCCTAATAAATGTCTCACCAGCAATTTCAGTTGCCTATAGTAAAGAGCTTTCCAGTTCAATATAGTAGTTACAATAAAAGAATAACGAAAGGGCAAGTTGATACAAAATTCATACTTTCTGATATATAGTTGTTAAATTGTTTACATACTAAAGTTTAACGTTTCTCCCCTCCTCTCCCCTCCTCTCCTCTCCTCTCCTCTCCTCTCCTCTCCTCTCCTCTCCTCTCCTTTCCTTTCCTTTCTTTTTTTTATATTTGAGACAAGTTTTCTATGTAGCCACAGCTGGCTTCGAACTCCTCATTCTCCTCCCTCTGTCTTCCCAGCGTTGAGATTACAGGCAGGTACCATCATTTCTGGCTTGTAATTTCTTGAAATCTGGAATTATTCTGAAAGAGAACTGTCTTATAACTGGAACTGCAGTAACGCTGTTGGTAGGAATTTTTCATGCATACGTTAGGATGTGTGAATTTATATATTCTCTATAAGGAACATAAAACTCAGGTACATTTTATTTTTGAGCATCAATTCCATTCAGTTGAATGGGAATTTATTGACTGTATCTTCGGTGGCCAATTTTGTGTTAGGAGATGAATGGAAGTCACCTTACCCTTGAATTTTAATGAGATGCAGAGATAAACCGATAACTATACTGTGGTAAATGCTGAAATAAACCTTACTTAAATTTGAAAAAATAAACCTCCATGATTCCCCATCACCTCACTTGGAGCAATTACTAACCCTTGGTTTTCCTTGTTTCCCACATATGCCTATTTATTTCCTTTCTAACATTTTATTTTGAAACATATCCATGATAATGTATCATGAAATGGACATTATAGGATTGAGGGTTCTTGAAAGACATTGGGAAAATGAAGTATATCCAGGAAGTTGGGAAATTGCTATTGAGAAGGGGAGGAGGACGTTCTAGTTTTAGATGGTGGAATGAGAACCAACAGTTATTGCACCGTCTTGAAAGTACTTGTACATGCATTACTTTTTATGTTCATCTGAAAATGAGCACCCAAGATATAATTACAATGGTTCTGGAATTTTTTCTGAGAACTTTATCAGAATCATTCACATTCAACTTCATTAAACCAAGATGATATACAAGTGGTGGTAATGACTAATCTGTTCTCTGTTCACTCTAGTAACTTTCTAGACTTTGAACATTTGAACCCAACCACTTGAAAGTCATTCTTCTTTGTAAGAAAAATAACAACCACTGTTGGTCATTTTTGTTTTTGTCTTTGAAGAAGGAGAATCATGCATCAGTTCTGAAATAATCATGAGTAGGTAGAATTTAATGATCTGAACGAAAAACCACCCTGTAAACTGGAGGAAAAAGAAACCAGCGTGTACATTTAGGTTCCCGAGGGAATTTCTGGTTAGCTACACCATGACATCTCCAAGGTTTCATCATATAGGTTTGGCTCATTTTCCTGTTATGAAATGGGGTTTCAGCATTGTTCTCTCTTGACTGTTTTCAGATCACAGAACTGTGTGGCGCGAAGCGAGTTGGTTATTTTGGTCCGACGCAATTTTACATTGCTCTGAAATTGATTGCTGCAGCACAGTCTGGCCTCCCTGTGCGAATAGACAGTATTCAGTGTGGTAAGTATCTCACATTTTCTGTGCTTTATTGTTCACGACAGATTTCTTATTTATGAGGGCTGTTTTTAGTAGTTTAAGACCTGTTCTGTTACCTTTTGTGGAATTTTTTTTCTAGTTTCTTCCAACTCCTCTGCACAATGAAGTAAGAAAACTTGGTGGGTGGCTTAGTTTTTTATTTTTAATGGGGGAAAAATCAGAAGTTTTTCTTTAGCAAGATGATATTGGGAAAGAAATTCTAGAATCTGAGACAAAACAATAGCATTCATTTTAATTTTCCACTTCAGATAGCTGTGTTGTCGTTTACTGCTGTGTTAAGGATTAGTTCAGAGTAATGGGAGAATGGTAATTATGGGAGAATGAACTGTCCCTTTTCTCTCTCTTCTATCCCTTCAAGTTATAGCAGATGTCTTCCTCTTCCTCCTCTTCCCCCCCTCCCCACCTCCTCATCCTCTTCTTTTCTTTTTCCTTTTTGTTGTGAGACTGGACTCAAACTTGGTACCTGACACTTTGCTCATTGGCTAGAGCTTTACCAGTTGAACCAAGCCTCCAACCCCTCTCCCCTTGTCTTCCATACAAGGTCTTATTGTATAGCCCAGGCTCTATCGGAACTTGTAATTTTCAAGTCTCAGGCCCCCCAGTGCCAGGATTACAGAAATGTACAACGACACCTAGCTATGTACTTATTTAATTCTCAGTTCCTGAAGTACTCTTCTGGTCACCTAAGGGATACCAACATTTTGGAAGAATGAATCTTCTTATGAATATTCCAATTTTAACATTTTCTTGCCCTCTCTGTTCCTGGCCCTGCTATGTACTCAAGTATTTTCTCCAAATTAAACAAAAGGGAAAGCCCCCAACTGCCAGCCTCATTTCTGTTGCCTCAGCAGGAGTTTAACAGATCTGTATGAAGAAGTTAACGATTGTGTGAGTGCACAAGGTCCTTGAATACTTCAATGTTAGCACATAGCTTTCATATGTCCACATACTATGCAGGCGTGTGTTATTTTTCTTTTCCTCATTTTGAGATAATGACTCATCTGCAAAAAAAAAAAAAAAAGCGCAAAACAGATACCAACTCATCTGCATACTTTTGTCCTCTGCAGGTTCTGGTAGACAGGTTCTGGCTATGGCAGACAAAGCCTTTGGAACTAACCATAGGGAGTCATAGGCATTATGCTAATCTTTATCAAGGGCTTAGAGTGGGCCAGACACTGTCTTCTTTAATCCTCATAGCATCTAACTAAATTAGGCATAATGCTTGTTGAACTTTGCATTAGGATAAAATACAGTCACACATCTCAGTGCCTCAGTTAGATATAGGTAGGTTTCTATCTACATTACCCTGGCCAGTCTTCGGCTTTTAGATTTAACTCTGCAGGGCAGCTGCCTTTCATGTGTTGGCTCTGTGATCTTGGGTATTTTACCTTACGACACCTCCAAAACAGCACCTGTTTTGACCAGCAAGGATGTGAGTTAAATTCTTTGGTCTGGATGTGACTCGTGTTATTGTGGCTTATAGTGTTTTCCAGAGCTTGTCACAGAGATGCATCTGCTTCACTACAGAGCAGACTGGGGGGAGCACAATCCTTTGGGGGAATTGGTTATGAGTAAACACTGCAAGTTTCTACTATGGCACTGTTAGTATCTCTATCGTACAATGGTGCAATTGAAGTTTAGGTAAGTTGAATCAACTTGCCTAAGGTCCTAGTGTTAGTAAAGTCTGGATTCAGGAGCTCTGCTTCTAGTTTTCATGTTCTTTATGTTTTGAAGGGGAGGTTGCAGTGCTGGGAATGAAATGTAGGGTCTTGCACATACTAGGCGAGTGCTCTACCACTGAGCTATGTCCCCAGCATTACTTCTTGAGACAGGATCTCTTTTTATGTCCTACAGGCTGGCCTCAAACTCCCACGCCTGTGTCCGTTTCTCCAGGTCTGGAATCACAGGTGTGCAACCACCATGCTCGGTTACTATGTGCTTAACTGCTATGCAAATAGCCATTTCTCACTATCCTTACTATCCTTGTAGTAGATTCTGATAGAGATCTGTAATCATGGACTATTTCCCAAGTGAGACAAAAGTCAGGCCCCAAAGAGCTCCTTTGGTATTATAGAATTAAACTCTCTGAAAGAAATTACTGTTTCCCCCCCCCCCCCTCCCCAAGACTGTTATTCTACTACATGGTCCACAGCTCCACTTCTTGAAATATCTTTCCTTCCTTCCTTCCTTTCTTTTTTTTGGGTGGGGGAGGCAGGGGTCATGGGGCTTGAATTCTGGGCCTGGGTGCTGTCCCTGAGCTCTTTAGCTCAGGGCAAATGCTCTATCACTTTGAGCCACAGCGCCACTTCTGGTCTTTTGGTGGTTACTTGGAGATTAGATTCTCAAGGACTTTCCTGCCCAGGCTGGCTTTGAACTGAGATCCTCAGATCTCAGCCTCCTGAGTAGCTAGGATTACAGGCATGAACCACCAGGAACAGCTGAAGAAGGCTTTCTTATTTGTGTTTTGCAAACACAAATGCTGCCTTTGGAGGTTTAAGGGTATCCAGAATTAATTCTGAATTATCTTCTTTCATTTAAAGATTTACTAAATAAAAATTATTTGCAATTACTATGTGTTAAGTAAGAATGAGAACAAGATTGGCCCAAACTTTAAGCTGCTACTTGGTTGGTTATGATCTACTAGTTTAATATTTGATGCCACACACCTTGAAGTTCAATGAAGATGCTCTCTGAAGGCCTAATGGGAAAGTCTGTGGAAGTCTTGTGATCTATAGGGAGTCATATTCTGGGAGTTACAGATAGATACCTCCTTTTTTTTTTTGCTAGTTCTGAGGCTTGAACTCAGGGCCTGGGTGCTACCTCTGAGCTTCTTTTGTTCAAGTCTAGTGCTGTACTACTTGAACCACAGCTCCACTTCTAACTTTTTGGTAGTTAATTGGAGACAAAAGTCTCATGGACATTCCTGCTGGGTCTGGCTTCCAACTGCAGTCCTCAGATCTCGATCCCTGAATAGCTAGAATTACAGGCATCAGCCACTGGCGCCTGGCAGTATACCCTTATTATTATTCTTTTTGCCGGTCTTGGGACTTGAGCTCAGGGCCTGGGCTCTGTCCCTGAGCCTTTCTATGCTCAAGGCTAGTGCTCTACCACTTGAGCCACAGTGCCACTTCTACAGATAGCCTTATTTTATGAATGGCATGAGCCTATGTGTATATATATGTTAATCTCTATCCCTTAGTTTTTCTTTTTGTAAATGCCAGCACTATCTCTTAATGCTCAGCTAAAATCCTGGGTCCCTTGCTTTCTCTAGTATAGTCCATCAAAAGTTCAGCTCAGTGCCTTTTGTTTCTATCTCTGTTCCTACTAGACTAGGCTACCTCTACCACTTGCCTGGATAACACAATGGTTTTGTCCTTGGTTCTCTGGTCTCCTCTCTTCTTTGCCCCTTTCTCATTTCCCATATTGGGAAGAGTGATCTTTTTGAAATAGACATCATATTATTTCCTTTTTTCCCTTAAAACCCTCCAGTGGTTTGCCTGTTATATGTAGTCCCTAGTTCAGAATTCCTGTACCAGTCTGAAATATCATGCACAATCTAGCCCCTTCTGTTTCACACCCTTATCTCAGATTTTGTCTCTTAGCATCATGGCCTTTTAGCTGCTTCTAGGTGATTTTCATGCTGTGAGCATATACTATATCAAAGTCTTAGGTTTCCAGAGTTCTGGTCTTCCTCTCTCTTTCCCATGGCTGTTTTTCATACTTCAAGAATTAGAGCCTGTCCCTACCATCGTAAAGTAGGTTCTGTCAAATTCATTAGTGATGGACCCAGTCTGTGGTCAAGCTGCTTCTAGAAAGTATAGTGTCAGAAATGTTTATAAAAGTGCAGATAAAAACGCTGGAATGAGGTTGCTAAATTATGTATAAAACTGGTGTTCTACATACAGGGCAATGAAAGCACAATTGGCTTTTGTACTCTTTTCTCAGATGAAATTCGTTTGCCTTGCTATCAAACAAAAGTACATGTTAGTTAACAGTTTTATAAAAGTTAATATCTACCCTTTCGTAATTATAAAATGTCTAATCAAGAGTACATAGTTCTGGGTGTGGTGGTGCAGGACTGTCATTCTAGCATTTACAAGGCTGAGGCAGGAAGATTGTGAGGCCAGCCTGAGTTACATAGCCCAGCCCTGTCTCAAAGACCAAACCAAACCAAAACCCAACAGAATAGTAAGTCATAACAGAAGTACACAGTCTTAGGGGAGTTAGGTGTTCCCTGGGTGAGCCTGCTGAGTATTGGTTGTTCAGGGCACTCTCCTCTGTACTTTGCTCTCTCTCAGCATTTGTTTCCTTATAGCACTTATCAATCTGTAAATATTCCTTACAGGTTCAACTAATTTTTTGTCTGTCTTCCTCATTTGCCTGTAACCTTGCTTCAGAGGAAGGGAAGAGGATCTAGTAGCCTCTCTGTTATGGGGCATTATAGCTACTCAGTGTATGTTGGTGGAAGGAAGTCAGAAAGGGAGGGAGAGAGGGAGGGAAGATGGAAAGAAGGAAGAGAAGAAGGAAAGAGGGAAGGAGGGAGGGAAAGAAAAGCTGAATGTTTGTTCTCAGAGAAGGCATCTTAATAACTTGTCACTTTTTTTTTGGGTGGGGGGGGTCCGGTAGTGAGGCCTGAACTCTGGGCCTGGGTGCTGTCCCTCAGCTCTTGAGCCACAGCGCCACTTCTGGCTTTTTTTCTTTTTGCTTATGTGGTGCTGAGGAATCAAACCCAGGGCCTCAGGCATGCAAGGCATGCACTCTACCACTGAGCCACCTTCCCAGCCCCCCCCCCCCTTTTTTGGTCCTGGAGTTTGAACTCAGGGCCTGGGTGCTGTCCCTGAGCTTCTTTTGCTTAAGCCTGGCACAAGGCTAGCTAGTGATCCACAGCTCCATTTTAGGCTTTTTTGGTGCTTAATTGGAGATAAGAATCTCATGTACTTTTACTTCCCAGCTTACCTTGAACC